GATAAATAAAGAACTACTGTCAATGCTACCAGCTTGGAAAAAAAGAAAAAATTACAAACACACTGGGCAACAGAATCAAACAGGAAAAAATGAGTCGTGAAAAACATTGAGAACCTGACATTTTTTCATCTTAAGAAACACAGGTACTTTGCAACACAAAAAATAAAAAATATATCAAAATCCAATGGAATACTAAATGTTGTTAAAATGGTGAAAACGACAGTTTTGGGTTAGTTCACTTTACAGGTAAGTTCTACACCACAATAGGCTAAATTTGGATATGGCAATGGTAATTTAGGAAAAATTACGTAGAGGATCCAGTGTAGCAGCCATACAAATTTCTTGGAAGAGAAAGAATTTGAGATAATAAAAAACCAGCCAGACTTGATTTAACATTTCTTTGTCCTTGCCAAAGATGCTGGTTACTAGACAAGGAAAATTTTGTATAATATGAACAGGATAACATTTATATTTGGATCCCTTATAAATAGCCTCAGCTGACATTTAGGCATCAAGCAAAACAAGTCAGACAGATGTGGTTGTATACCATGGGAAGAGAATATTTAAACTTTAAATGTAGAAATGGCTCTCACTGGTAGAAGAACAAGGATGTGGTAAAATATGGGCAGGATATTAACTAATTCAACTAGAATTGTCAGTATTGTGGGGAAAATTGCATGAGTCTTTCTAAAAGAGCTTATTGCTAGGAAAGTAGGTGTATTGCTCTTCTGAGCTTTCTGTAACATGAGTGGAAGTCGTTGTTACCAGGAGAGTAGCTTTCCTTTTGTCAGATCTTCTGATCCATACTCAGCAAAGGGCAGGGAAGGCCAAAGAAATACCTTGGTGTTATTTATCAGTGGGTTAATCCCACGTTAATTTGCGGGATAATGTGTTTTCTACGAGGAAGTTGGCTGCCAACTTCATTAGAAGCAAGAACTAGATTTTACTATAGCAACAGAAATCTAGAAAAATCTTGAAACAGTCTCCTGAACTAACTCTGGATTCCAGCTGCAAAAATAAATGCAGGAAAAGATTTTCTCCACGTGCAACTGGCAACTGATGTGTTTTTTGCTTGATTTCTGGTGCACAATATTTGCATAGCTTCCATGAGGAACACTTCATTGCTATGAGTCTAGGTCTCAGCTTTCTATTTCTAATTATCTAACCATTTCTCCTTATTTGTCATGATAGTTTCTTTAGCTCTAAGTTAATACCTTCACTGAGAACATTGCTGACGTTCCATTATTTTCACTGTAAAGCTAAATTCTGTATGTAGTAATTTTATTCCAATACATCCCCATTCACCAACTACTTCTTAGTCCTCCAACAGCCCCTTTATAAATGTATTGCTATTTTATTCCACTTGAAGCTACACCCTCCTTAAAATATCCTTCAAGGCATGGAAGGAAAACAGCCAACTATTTCCTTGTGTCCTCTTCTATTTCCCAGCTTCTGCACAGGGGGTCTGCTGAGGAGGAGAGGATGAATTAGCTGCCATGTCCTCATCTATCAGGGGAAAAAAAAGATCATACCAGTGAAGGATTTCTGTTTTCTGTTTTCTGAAAATCCTAACAGGCAGAGCAACTCCATAATTAATGGTGGGTTTTGAGCAATTTCTGCCTGGCCTCTTCTTCCTCTGCTACCTTTCTTTCTTCCATTCCAGGGCCAGTAACAGCCACAATTATTGGTGAGAAGAGTAAATGGATAGTTAGTCCCATATAGCTGTGGCCATAGCAATGGCCTCTTCCAGAACAGGTGGACTTGATGCTGAGTCAGAGATGTATTGTAGTTTCAGTCATTGATGACTCTGAGGACTGCTGCCCTTGACTTGAGACAGCTCTAACCAGATGAATGTTTCCCAGCACTTGTCAAAGCTGAGTGCACCTCACCCCCAGAACTGTCATGCTTCTCCTGAATACCACCAGCACCTCTCCAAGGTGCCTTAAAACACATGCGGTCCACTTCCTGAGTCACGAGACTGCTTACCTAAGAAGATATGGCAACGTCGGCAAAAAATCCCCACACGAGATCAGCCCTTTGAAAGCGCATTTGCAAAAGGTACAATACATTGCATGCAAAGCCTGTGAGGCGACGGCATCTCCACTCATGTAAAAAACCCCAAAAAGCAAACCCACGACTAAAACTTATCACTGAAAAACTGCAAAGCACAGTGACAATATATTTCAACATTAAATACGACTGTTATAGCATGTGTCTTTATACAGATACCAGGGTAGCTCTTCAACAAATATAAACAAAAAAGGAAAAGACAGTTACAGTCAATGCTTATTTTAAAAAATTTTACCTAGGGGAGTTCCCACTACTCATGAACTGAGAAAGCACAGATTTAAGAATCAAGATCTATTATTAAAATCCTTACTTCCAAAGAGGTCATGTGTTTGTAACTTTATTCCATATGACTGTAATTATGTATGTGCAGAATGGAAAACAGGCGGGCACTAACAGTTTTTCAGAAGGAAAATGTAATTATCTAAATTAA